GTTGTTGCTCTCCAACTGCTGCATGCCCTCCACCCTCTCAACTCTCTTCATCCTGTGATGCATTCAGATTTGGGACAGCTGTGGAAGGAGATGATTCCTGAGCTTATTCAATATCTAGAAAGTAAGGAAGTGGGAGATGGGTTCCCAGGACAACTGATGAATGTTCAGAATACACTTGCATGGCTCCTTTGAAGTAGTATGTGTCTGTGTCAGGGCAGATTTTACAAACCTATGCAATCCTGCTCCCATTCAAATCATTTGAAGTTTTGCTTCTGATTTCAGTGGTAGCAGAAGTGGGTTTAGAGTGGTTTATCTGTCCCAGCACACCACATGGGTTGACATTTGCTCTTGAGTCACTACAGTGTAATATAGTCCAAATATGGTTTGACAGGTGTTCTGATGCCTGAGGCAAGTCAAGCCTCCTTCCCTTCCCCTCCCGTCTTGAGTCCGTTGGGGATTTTCTTTCCTAGTAACCCTGTTTCCCTGAAACAGAACTGGAAAGGAAGGAAAAGCTGTTTGTCAACCATGTCTTTTTCTATATTATTTAGCTGGGATCAATTTGTGAGGCCCTTAGTACTTACTCAGGCTCTCATTGGCTTTCCAACAGGAATTTTCCCTGAGTAACAGTGTGTTGGGGAGTAGCAGAAGGATCAAACTATCCAAATATAGCCCCTGCCATTCTTTTAGACTCTGCTGAGGAGAGGAGGGAATATGGTTTTAATTTGTCCAAAAAGGAATTAAAATTGAGATGTTTCAAATGAGTGAAAGGGAATTATGCACTTAAATTCCAGTGACATTCATACTGGAAAACTAGAACTGGAAGGGACCTTGAGAGATCATCAAGTCCATTCCCTTGCCCTCACAGCAGGACCCAACACAGTCTAGATCATCCCTGATAGATGTCTATCCAACCTGCTCTTAAATATCTCTAGTGATGGAGATTCTACAACCTCCCTAGCTAATTTGTTTCAGTGCTTAACCACCCTAACAGGAAGTTTTTCCTAACGTCCAACCTAAACCTCCCATGCTGCAATTTAAGCCCATTGCTTCTTGTCCTATCATCAGAGGCCAAGGAGAACAATTTTTCTCCTTCCTCCTTATAACACCCATTTAGATACTTGAAAACTGCCATCGTTCAGTGGAAATTGGGCACCTTGCTCCCATAGGCTTCTTTGAAAATCCCACCTTTAAAGCCTTTTCTGTTTTGTCCAAAACTGCCAGTTGTGCAGTATCTCCATCCATTTTGATAATAACATTTTCATAGATAAATAGATATTAAAGGCTAGAAGGGACAATTCAATCATCCAGTCTGACCTCCTATAAAACATAGGTCATAGAATTCCACCCAGTTACCCCTGTATTGATCCCAATAACTTCTGCTGAACTGAAGTATATCTTCCAGAAAAGTATCCTGTCTCAATCTAAAGACATCAACTGATGGAGAATTCACCACTTCTCTTGGTAATTTGTTCCAGTGGTGGAACACTTTTATTGCATAGCATACGTGTATGTTATTAGCCAAGCTGAAAGTACACATCCTTGTCCTGCCTGGTACATCTCGCTCCGTCCTGGTATTCTGAGTTTCCATAATGTCTTGCTGAAGCAATCTGAACAGTGTTCAAAATGCTTTTGCCGACATGCTGCATTTCTGCCCCTTCTAGCACATAATGAAGGAACTCTGGAAGAGGAGAAATGGAAGGACAAGCTGCTTCAGGTAACATTCATCATCTCTAAGGGCCTTTAGTTCTATGACAATGTGCTTACTATGTTCCACCTGCACTCAGCATGTATCTACTAACCAAGGTTACAAATGCAGGGCCATCTGTAGCATAAAAGGATTGGTTGCCCTATCTTTCCTGACCAACTGTCTGCATCTACAGAGCAACAAAACCATATTGGTGCACCCACATACAGCATGTTATACAACAGTGATTGTAATACAGTGAACCCTCGTTTATCGCGGTAGATAGGTTCCAAACCCGACCGCGATAGTTGAAAATCCGCGAAGTAGGGACATGTATATTTAACATGTATACAGCGAGCCCTCGCTACTTCGCGGTTCGACCATCGCGGATTCACGACTTCGCGGACTTTTTTCATTACATTATGTATATACGTGAATCCGCGATGGTCGAACCGCGAAGTAGCGAGGGCTCGCTGTATACATGTTAAAATTCTGTAGTCCCTGGAGCTTCCTGTTTTCCACACTGCCCTAGGGAGAGATTATCTTGCACTGGGCCAATATCCAGTGCAATGTTCTTTACATAGTTATTCTAGAAAGCAGGCGAGGGAGATGAAGTTAGGTCTTCACCCTGTCATAACCATGCCTATGCTATTTCTAAAATATGTGGTACTGGTCATTGTTGGAGACCAAATGCCTGACTAAATAGGCCTTCTCACAATTACTCTGTTCCTAATGTCTTGCCTTAATAAAAGATCCTCAGACAAGCTTTCTCCAAATGTTGGGCTATTCACATATTTTGAAAATAGGTAATGATGAGTGTGAAGAACTGTAAATGCTCTTCCTAACACAGGCTTTCTCCCTACCCTCAACAGCTTTTAGAAAGGTCAATGGAAGCCATTATGGATGATGCATGGTCCTGTGAGCTTGCAAATGAGATTCTTGTGAAAAGTAAAAGCTATTCTCAGAGGCCCCAAGATAAGGTCAGTTCTGGGTTTAGGGTGTAAAGAGTAAGAGTGAAATAACAGATGCAGCCTACCTGTGTTAGGAGAGGTTTCTGGGGACATGGAAGTATGCCAGACTGGCTAGATTACAAGGTGCCCAGGGTCAGTGTGTAAGGAATACATATTAAAGCTCTTTCCATAGGGATCTGAAAGTTATGCTGCATTTGAACAACATGTTCTCCCTGATGGCACCAGAATACTTGACAAAGTAGAACCCTCCTGTTCCAATCATTTCTATACATTCCTTTCACTCTACATAACATTTAGTTTAACTACTCTCTCTTCTATTTCATTTCCTGTTCTTGTATTTGTATCTTCTTCTATGCTGCTCTTTATCCTGGGAAAGAATCTTCCAGTCTTCTGTGTCAAAGTCCTGTACCAACAGAGTACTCATGCACATGTATATTTTTCCTCACAGGTTGACCATGAAATTTGTATGGGACAACCTACAAAAACACAGGATTATTTGTTAGAGAAAGTGAAATTAATATTCTCTCTCAGAAGAATTTTAAGTTCCCATTTGGCTTCCATTGACTTCAATGGGATTACTCAGATGCTTAAAGTTAAGCATGTACCTCAGTGCTTTGCTGGATTGCGGGCTAAGTGATTACCCTCTCCTCATTCCAGTGCTTACTTCAAACACACTTCTGCCATCAGTCTTAGGTGGTGATCCACCTCAAAAATGTATATTGAATATTGTGTGCTACAGTGGGACTACCAAAATAGTTGCTAATAACTCCGTATACAGATTTGACTCTTTGAGGGCAAAATACATTTATCGAGCGTAGTATTTCCATTACTCGGTCTTGTCTCTTACAGTTCTCTAGCTATGGTGTAAAACAATGTAGCTCCAGTGAAAATGAGAGCAACTGGTGCTTATCACTTATGAGACTCATTTAGGTGCCTAAATATGGATTTACGAGCCTAATTTTAGGTACCCACTTCTTAAAATCTCAGCTTTAGTGAGCAGATAAAATATGATGATCTGGTAACTCCATTCTGAATGTTATCTCTGGATCATGGCCAATTGCAGTTTCTGAAAACTGTCTCCTTCCATTGTAAGACACATGAAAAGAAACAAAATCTTCATCTCGCAAAAGATATAATGAGCCTTTCTGGGCATTTTAGAGCTAAGGAGGGTCAGACTGCAACTGGCTTTAGTTAGTGCTCCAACAAACGTCATAAGTCTTTACTCATAGCCATGGGGTGCCCATAATGATGTGAAGTTCTTTCAACTACATGGAAGCACCAAAGAAATTATTTCTTATTGTATTATATACTGCAAACTGGAGCTCTAAAATTTACTAATGGGGAATAATCATCCCCCTGTATCTACTGATACTACTGTATTTTTTTTATAGTTTTTCCCATATAAATTTTATGGGGCAGTCTTACGGGCATCAAGAAACAGAGATATGGTGAGAGAGTACCTCAGCATTATACTGCGGACTTCTCAGCAGGAGGAAGCTGAGAGAGAGGTGAGCGAAACAGAGCAGTTAGCAGTGAATCTTGGTGGTGAGAGAAAGGGACAGTAATGAGGATTTCCATAGAGTAGAGAGGGGGACACAGAGAGAAATGGAAAAGTGAGCAAATATTTCTGTGTGAACTAGAAATTATGTAATCTTGGAGTGGAGGATGGGAAATTAAGAGGAATATAAAGGGTGTCAAAGATCTCCAAGCAGACTGGGGAAAGGAGAAGAGTGATGGAGGAGTTAGCATTTGCCTCTCTGTATGAATGGAATAGGAGGGCCAGTGAGGCTCTCCAAAGCTGGCAAAGGGATGTAGAAGGGAAGTCTGGGATGAAGGAAAGGCTCCATTGAAGGGTACAGGTGAGGAACAAGGAAAGGGAAGGTTCAACACTGAAGCATGACTTTGTGTTCTAGGGGATTGCTTCAGCTATCAGTCTTGTAGCTACCCGCCACCTCACGGACACTTTGGTGGTGCTTCAGGAATTTATTAGCATGATGAACCCAGAAGGAAGCTCACCCGATGAGGTACAGCTAAAATGTGTTTGTTTGTGTGGAACCATGACTCAAATGAGGCTTGCAAAGCAACCAGGTGGCTCAGTCTCCCCTCCATCCTTTCTTTTCAGTGACACTTCTGGGGTCATCTGTATTTGTTTAAAGTCATGGAGAAGAGTGCTGCCTTTTCCCAGTAGGAATTACTTTTGTAGGAGAATGGGTCATACTACCTGGTGACACGTGATCTTTCCGGGGAAGACCTGTGACATGGTCACTTCTGGGCACAAGACAAACTGCTGCAGAGCTCCCAGTCCAGTGGAAGGAAACAAAAGGTCTTTTATTTAGCTGCTGTCATCACCTGCAGCAAACCCATTCATCAGCAGCCGCAGATAGATCACTGGTGCTAAATGAAACATTCAATCCCCGTTAGGCCTGCCTTCCCTTGGGGAGGCTCTGGCATGCTGCAAGTCTTCAGTCAGTTCCTCACCTGAGCCAGGCCTCTCTCACAGATGGAGAGCTGCTCTTCTCCCCAGTCAGCCCCTGCCTGAGCACTGCTCTCCTCTTTTAACATCTTGCTCTGGACAGGTGGAGGGAGGTGGGGGAATGTGTTGCCTTATATGCTATTAGACACCAGAGATTCTAAGTAACTTTCCCTTTTATCCCTTGCCTGACACCCACTGCTGGGATAGAGTGTCCAGGACAGGGGTGCATCTCCTTTGTATATCCCATTCCAGACCTCCTTCTAATGCAAATGTACGAAGTAGGAGAGTTAAGGTTGTTGTGGGAAGCTGAATTTCCTGTGTTGGCGTGATTTTAAAATTCAGCCTTCGTGTGGCGTTCATGTCGCTGCTTGATACAAACTATGGGCCCAAGTCTGCAAATTCTTGTTCATGGAGTAACCCTTATTCAGCTCCATGGGCTTGGAAAAGATTATTCCAATGTGTAAAGGACTGCAGGGATGAATGCTATGAAATACGGTAAAGGAGACATGTTAGCACATTGTCTTGGGGGCCACTGGGGTTACAGCCCTCTCCCCTCCACACACACATGGAGAAGATGCTGCTTAGTGTTCCCCTCTTCTGATATTTAAATGCCTGTCTCCTGAAAGAGGGTGGTGCTGAGCCGACAATAGCCACGCTTGGCCACTTTGGCCACCCAGCTCTGTCTGCTGAATACCTAGGCGGAGTAAATGTGGTTATGTCACCACAGTCTGGTCCTGAAGTCTTTTCCCCACAGCTCATCGCTAAATGTCAAGGCAGAGCTCCTTCAGACCATGCTAACACAATGGAGATTTCTCTTGCGATATCACAGCTCTTGTCAATTCCTTACTTGCCGCTCTTATTTAAGAGTGAGCGTCCTTTTAAGAGAGCGATTAGATTTGTTCTCGTTCAGTCACAAGTTACTGGCCTCAGTAGAGTTCACTCACACAGAGGGAAGAATAATCCCCTCCTCCACTGCAAGAATCACTGGATGAAATCCAGTGGCTGTGCTATGCAGGAGGTGTCAGACCAGATGGTCATAATGATCCCCCTGGCCATAAAGCCCATGACTCTTAGCCTTTCAGAGAACATCACCTTCATATACAGGTGTTTTTCTTTGTCTGGAGACAATTTTGTAGTGCTGAATATTTGGACTGCAGAGCAGTTCTGGTGGTGGGGTGTGTGTGTGAGAGAGTGAGAGTGAGAGATCTGGAAAGATGAGTTTGCATTTATCTCCCCTTCTGCCACAGGATGCACAGCAGAGTATGTGGAGTATGACATCCAGCACCCTTCACCTTTGCTATGACCAGATGGCTAAGGAAACAAAGGACAACATCCTGCCCTGGGTAGACCACATCCTATCCCAAATGTTATACCACCATTGCCGCTATACTGCCTCAGCCACGGTATGATGAATCTGGATCTATTGCTAACAATGCTTTCTCCTCCTTGAGCTTTCGAGTTCATGGGGGGCAGCAGTCTTTGTTTTGGGCTCAGCTTGTCTCAACTAGGAAACTAACAGGAAACTGCTAGGACGTCGTCATATCATAGCTTCTCACGTGACTATTCTGGAAAGAAGTCATGGTAGGGCCTCCATATCCGCATTGCAGCCACAGCATAGGAACATAGGGATTGCCATTCTCAATCAGACTAGTGATCCCATCTGACTGGTTTTCCTGATTCTGAAGTAACACTTGCTGTTCTATACGTTCCCAAGATCTTTCCTTTTTTAAAAGACAATAATAATGATTTTTAAAGCAGAATGAGGATTTCTGATTTGGTGTTTGAAAAACAGATCCAGAGAAAGATACAGTATAGTTACCAGATATCTTCTCTCTATATTCCTTGTGCCTCTCCCATGTCTGTTTTCAGATGTTTCTAAGACTAATAGGTGAGATTGGTGGTAATCTTTTCTAGCAAGGTTAGTGTTATCCAAATACAGTGCTGTGACTTGTCATTTGGTTATCAGAACTGGAATCGGAGGAAAAGGTTTTTTTTTTAACTTTGCCATCTCAGCATGTCCTGGGAGCAGGAGATTTGTCAAATTCTTGGTCACAGGATCTATGGAATGGGGTAGAAAATGTCTCTTTCCATCTTGATCATGAAAAGTAGCAGGGAGTGATCAGTGTTACTAATGGATATTTTTATAGATACGGCAACTGGCCAGTTTCAGACTGTTCCCTTCTTATTTAAATTAAACTGAAAAGTTTACCTTTATAGCTTTTCATTTTTCAAATTCATATTGTCATGGTTAGAGTGATTTGTTATCATCTTAAATGGTAAGTTACAGCCTTAATAAATGTTATGTTAATCATGATACAGGTTGGACCTCCCTGGTCCGGCACTCTCGGGACCTGACCAGTCACGGATAAGGGATTTTGACGGACCCGAGATGGTCATATCTGCTCCCCTGCTACTGGCCCCCCAGCCCTGAACTGGCCACTCCCCCACCCCCCCAGCTCTGCTTCCCTTGCAGCCCCCCCCCCC